ATTATATTTGGTATTTTTATTCCAAGCCACCAGTTATCATTGGCATAATGTTAGGACAGTTGCTGTTTCCATTCTTTCTGTGTAGATAAACATTTAAGATCTCTGCTATGTAACAATTTGTAGAACTTTCTTAAGTCTTCCTCCCTCCCTCCTTTCCTTCCTTCTTTCTTTCCTTTCATTTTTAAATTTTATTTGTTTAGAAGTAATTGCATGTACATTGTTTAAGAATACAAATAGTACCATAATAGCTCTTCTTTGTTCTTTTTATACTCTTATTGCCCCTTTGCCTAAAGATAGCCCTATTCAGTCCTTTTAGTTGTATTTTCTGGTATTCATCTACCTATTTCTAAACAATGCATTGTATGCTCTAAGTGCCATTTATTCCTTTTAAAATGTTAGACTTATATATTGATTTCCAGCTGAGGAGTTCTGTCTCATAGACCACCCTTTACCCTTACTACATACCTACTTTTCCTGTCTCTCTGCTTTCTTGACGCAGTCATTATTACTGTCTATATTTAGATAAATATTAATGTTTATTATGACTATAATTTTTTGTGGCTGAGCTCTGTGATATAAGTTGTGATGTCTCAAGCCATTATGCCTCCCAGTTTGTTGTTTGTGAACTATATTTTGTCTCTAGAAAATGTTTAATGCTTTTCTTTATCCCCAGAATTCTGAAATTTTATATTGCAATTTTTTTGCTGTTTTTGATGTTCATGGTCCTCTCAGCTTGGAAGCTGATGCCCATCAATTTGTAAATTTTCTTGTACTATTTCTTTGATTTTCCTCCCCATTCTTTCTTTTCTCCTGGTCTGTTAGTTGAGTTTTGCACCTACTAATTTGATCCTCTAATTTTCTTAAGTCTTACTCTTAACTACTTTCCATCTCTCTGTGTTTTTCTTGTACTTTCTGAGAGGTTTTCTTAGTATCAATTGAATTTTTAATTTCTACTAGTAGGTTTGTAATTTCAAATTTAATTTTGGGGATCTATGAATATTTTGTTTTTAAAATTAGTATCCTGTTTTTATTCCATAGATGCAATATTTTCTCTTTTTTTGAGAATATGAATTGAATTATTTTACTGTTTTTTTCCTGTTCTTTGCTCATTTTCCTTTGCGTTCCCTTTATCTTCTTGTTATGATCCCTGGTTTTAATGTTAAAGTTTCCGCCCAAATGAGTGCTAGGGATTTAGCTGTCTGTTCATACTTAAGAGTGAGACAATAAAAAATGGACTGCAAATCTGTTACCTGGTTGGCTTCACTATAAGGTCTTTGGGCAGAGGACTGGTCATTTCGGTGGGTAATTATCACATATCAAAATCTGCAGATTTTTTTCCCTGGACTTTCAGTTTCTCCAAAAAGGAATTCTTTGTTTACTTCTTTTTTTGTGTGTGGTGTATAAGCCTACCTGTAAGGATTTAGAGGCACCTCAGAGGAGTGAGGAGGAAGGGAGCCAGAGGTCTCACCATCCAAGCCTGTGAATGCTTAAATCCAATGCCTTTGTTTCAGCCTCACCTGTAGTCTGAGTATGAAGTCTTGCCATATCATTTTCTCCTCTTCTTGTAAGAGTAGGGATGGTTTGGTTGGCTCTACCAGGTGAGGGAGAGGATCTGGGGTTCTAATTCCCTCCCTCCCTCCCTTCTTTTCTTCCTCCTCCCCTTCTTTCTTCCACACAAATTTATCATTTTACAGTTCTGTAGGTCAAAAGTCTCATGCATATTTCACTGGGCTAAGATCAATAGGCTGGGAGCAGTGGCTCACGCCTGTAAACCCACAGTACTTTGGGAGCCCAAGGTGGGTAGATCACTTGAGGTCAGGAGTTTGAGACCAGCCTGGCCAACGTGGTGAAACCCTGTCTCTACAAAAAAATACAAAAATTAGCCAGGTGTGGTATTAGACATCTGTAGTCCCAGCTACTCAGGAGGCTGAGGCATGTGCATCACTTGAGCCCTGGAGGCAGAGGTCACAGTGAGCAGGGATTGTGCCACTGCACTCTAGCCTGGGAGACAGAGTGAGACCCATGAGAACCGATATCAAAACAAAACAAAATTGAAACAAAACAGGTGTACATAGGCTACACTTTTTTTTTTTTTTAAAGCTTCTAGCTACTGGCTGTATTCCTTGACTCCTGGTGCCTTTCCATCTTTAAAGTCAGCAATGATGGGTCGAATGGTCTCACATTGCTTTACTCTGACTTCCTCTCTGTCTACCACTTCCACTTTTCTCTAGGGGAGAGTCCCTTTCACCTTTTTTTTTTTTTTTTTTTTAAGCTTCTAGCTGCTGGCTGCATTTTTTGGCTCCTGGTCACTTTCCATCTTTAACATCAGCAATGGTGGGTCAAGCCTCACATTGCATTACTCTGACTTCCTCTTCAGTCTACCACTTCCATTTTTAAAGACCCTTGTGATTACATTAGACCCATTCGATGATCCAGGATAGTCTATGATTTTTTTGGTTGTGGTAAAAAACATGTAACATAAAATATAACCATTTTTACATATAGAATAGTGTTAACTATGTGCACATTGTTGTACAAAAACTCTCTAGAACAGTTTTATGTTGCAGAACTGAAACTCTATGCCCATTGAACATGAACACCCCTTTATTCTGCCTGTCCAGCCTCTGGCAGCTATGAATTACCTTCTGTTTCTGTAAATTTGGCTACTTTAGATTCCTCATATAAGTGGAATCATGTAATATTTGTCTTTTTGTGACTGGCTTGTTTTACTTTGCGTAATCTCATCAGGGTTCATCCATGTTGCACCATATAAGAGGATTTCCTTCTTTATAAGGTTGAATAATGTTCCATTGTATGTATATATCATGTTTTCTTTATTCAACTTGCCATTGGATATATAGGTTGCATCCACTACTTGGCTATTGTGAGTAATGCTTAAGTGAACAGGGTATGCAAATATCTCTTTAAGACCCTGCTTTCAATTCTTTCAGATGCATACAAGAAGTAAGCTTGCTGGATCATATAGTAGTTCTATTTTTAATGTTTTGAGGAACTACCAGACTATATTCCGTAGTGGCTGTACCATTGGACATTTCCACTAACCGTGTACAAATATTCCAAGTTTCTCCACATCTTTGCCAACACTTGCTATTTTCTGTTTTTTTTTTCTTTTAATAGTGACCATTCTAATGGGTGTGAGATGATATCTTATTGTGGTTTTGATTTGCATTTTTCTGATGATTAGGGATGTTGAACATCTTTTCATGTGCTTGTTGACCATTTGTATATCTTCTTTGGAGAAATGTCCATTCAAGTCCTTTGCCAATTTTTAATTATTATTTGGCTTTTTGTTGTTGAATTGTGGGTATTCTTTAGGTATTCTGGATATTAACGCCTTATCAGATATGTGGTTTACAAATAATTTCTGTGGGTTGCCCTTTCACTCTGTTGATTACTTCCTTTAGTTTTTAAGTTTGATGTAGACCCATTTGCTTATTTTGTGTTTTTTACCTGTGCTTTTGGTGTCATATCCAAAAAGTCATTGCCAACTCCAATGTCATGAAGCTTTTTCTCTATGTTTTTATTTTTCTAGGAATTGTATAGTTTCAGGTCTTACTTTTAGGTGTTTAGTCCATTTTGAGTTAACTTTAATTTATGGTGCAGGGCAAGGATCTTTTTTTTTAAATACACACTTTACCACCCACTTCTTTTCAGTCCTTTCCACTCCCCATCTGAGGAACTGGAAGCTCCACCATTTCCTAAGCATTTCTGTCACAGTCAGCCAGTTCTTTGCTTCATGGGCAGGGAGGTTCCCACTGGTTCCGCTTGACTCTACAGTCATCTTTGCTTTTCAGACATCAGTGATGCCTATTGTTTGCTTTAATAATAGTTTTCTATTCCCTTTGTCTTTATGGATTTATAAATGTTTTCCTCTTTATTAATATTTTGATGGGAGGGAAGCAGAGATAAACAGACCTATTCCAATTGGCCATCTATAACCTCAACATCTGTCTTGCCCTTTAAAATAACATTTAAAAGGGCTTTAAAAAATGGTATCTCCTATTTCCTATTGTGACATCCAACCTCTAGAAATAATTGTTTCTATTTCTTTGCTTCTTTTTTATTGAATTTATTGCTTATCTATTTATTTATTCCTTTTAATTTTTATCCTGGGGTCCAGGGATAGCTTTAAGGAGTTAATGATTATTCTGAAATTTAAGAGGGGAGGAATGGAACAGGCTTAGTTTTCATCAAATACTCAATACTGTAAAGCTTACATGATCCTAAAAAAAGGGTTGGGAGCCTACTTCTTATAGATCATCACAGGAAAAAATAAAATGTTACAGATTAAATTAAATATGATTGAACTAAAATATACTACCTTTCTAGCTACCATTAGATTCCGTATTCTTTCACATGTAAGTACAAATTCCTACGACTGAGGCACTAAATGAATTACCCTCTTTATTCTTTATCTAATACAAAACATTATCTCTAGCATCCTGGTTATGCTACCAGGAAATGTGTACCATTTACACACATATAACTATAAAAGCTGTTACTTAAGAAAGTCATATTTTGGGCCCAGAGAGATAATGACATTTTTATAAGTCAACTTGTAAAGATGATAACTCAGTAGTTACATTTGTTTTCAGTTTGAAGCTTCAGCTTCAAACCTATAGTTAAGTTGTATAATCAATTATTTATTGGCAACTGAAATAGTAGATAAATATATAAAAGAAGAAACACCTTTTTATAGTTATAGGGCTAAAGACTTAACTTTTATGATGAGTAAGCTTGATGCTATATGTATATATTATAGTAATATAAAAAATACAAAAATTAAAAAGCTAGAAAGAAAGAAAAAAAGTGGGAGGAGGTAGGTTAGGTTCATTGTGAAATCTTTGTTTACAAGTTGATAAGTACTTTAATCCTTTTATTTATAGTGAGCTGCACCGAATTTATATGATCTCTCTCAGCTTTAGAATTTTGTGATTCCATTTTGAAGTAGTTAAGCTGAAACTGCTCCTCTGTTCCAGGCACACCATTGAGTTCTTTGGGATGCCCAAAAGTGTCTGGTTGGGAAACATGAAATAGAAGACAAGACCCTGCCTCAGCAAGTGTACCCAAGAATACTTTTAAAGGAACCTATCGATACATGCAAAACAGTAGCTGTTGGAGGTATGTATTAACAGAGAACTTGGATTAAACCTGATGTGGCCCACTCTGCTCTACTCAGTGAAGTGGAGTCATTCTCAGGGAATGAGCTCTTCTCTTGAATCCCACTGTTAATAGGGCAGAACTCTCAGACCCGAAATTTCTGGTGTCTGTCATTCTGTAACCTTGACTGTGTGGTGGGCTATCACTCATCACTCTTTGATGAACTCTAATTCAGCCCGTTGAATGTCCTTCCCAGTGACTCAATGACATTAAACTCTTGTCACATGAAAGTGATAGCAAATTTCTAGTTGAAGACCTTGTTTTCTGTTTTCCTAGGAGTAGAGCAGTCAGTATCAAAGCTCAGCAAATGTGTCCCATAAACCAGCTGATTCTCACTGGCTTTACTTTTTCCTGAACATCATCAAGGCCATTTCTGATTGGATGTGGTTGTATCAGATTGACTGGTTTCCTCTTAGTCGTTTACTTAGACCTCCTTGTCTCTGTGACCCCTCTTAAATGTTTACCTCATTTTCTTGATTTTAGCCTTTAATTTCTATCTCCTCAACAATGTATCATCAAGGTTAGGGATACCCATTATTTCATATCCTGTGACCTTTGGTGGATGTCTGGCTTTGGATGCACTGGCTCTCTACGTAAGGCATAGCCTATGTCATTGTCATATGTTACTTTGATCCTTTAGGATTTTTGTAGTTTGTTTCCATCTGCCAATGAAGAACACTACAAATGTACCTTGTGCTGAGTATTTTACTTGTGTTTGTCACCTATCATTAAGCATTAAGCACATCCCATTTTGCACATGAGGAAATAAGTTTCCCAATAGTTAAACAACTGGCCTGCTATTTCCCAGAGAGTAAGTGGCAGGAATGGGATTCAGCATTGGGTCTGTTTGTCTTAACTTGTATACCGTAGAAATAGTATACCAAGCTGTTTTCCCATTTTGAAGCAGAATTGTAAAAATATCCTTATTTGGCTGAGTGCAGTGGCTCACTCCTGTAATCCCAACACTTTGGGAGGCCAAGGCAGGGAGATCCCCTGAGGTCAAGGGTTTGAGACCAGCTTGGCCAACGTGGTGGGACCCCGTCTCTACTAAAAATACAAAAATTAGCTGGGTGTAGTGGCATGCACCTGTAGTCCCAGCTACTCAGGGGGCTGAGGCAGGAGAATCGCCTGAACTGGAAGGCAGAGGTTGTAGTGAGCTAAGATATCCCCACTGCACTCTAGCCTGGGCAACAAGAGCGAAACTTCATCTCAAAAAAAAAAAATCCTTGGGTAATTTTCATCTTCTGTACTTTTTTCAGCTTTTGCTACTTTTCCCCATTTCATGGCATTTTATTGGGTTGATAATTATAACACTTAATTTGAATCGTTAAAATTAAATATTTTCAACATTTTTTATTTTTATAATATCACTGAGAATATATTATGGTATGAGACATTATTAAAATATGCCCCCTTTCTCACATAGGCTCTGATGTCTTTACTGATTCTATGTTTTCTGAGTTGATTATGAGTCTAGCATGGGAGACAGGAGTGGCCTTTTATATTTCTAATATGGTCCTACTAGTACAGAGTTATTGAAGATGACATAGAAGAATGGTAAGATTTTGCCAGAAATATTGTCCTATAGTTCACAAAGTTGTTTTAGAATCTGAATTCTTTAAAATATAGAACATCTATTCAAGTACTTAGTTTAGGCTCAGTGACCACTTTCAGTGTGTGTACTGGGAAGTTGCCCTATATAGAAGGATATAGGTTTTAAGTTTAAGTAAGTTTAACAATATATGGTATCTGATTTTTTTTCAATAATGGGCTAAATGATTTGAAATGTCTATATATTTAGGCTTCTAGAATATTCTCATTAAATTAGTAGATGTACATGCTGAAAATACTTTAAATCATCATAAGAATCCTGAGAGATAGATGTGGTCAACCTCACTGAAAGACGAATACACTGAGGTTTATAAGATTATGAAACTTACCCAAGCTCATGTGATTAGAAAATGGCAGAGCCAGAATTGAACCTAGATCTATTTTTCACTGGCAGCATTCCTAACAATTACATTGCCTTGCTGATTATACACAGTGGTGACATGTAGATCATAAACATGTCTAAGAATTTTCTTATGTTTAGTATTCATACAAAGGCAGTCCTAAACAACTAAATTAGCCTCATCCTCACAGAAGCCAAAGCTTCTAGATGGGTTTGGTTTTGTTCATCAACGAGGTTTTATCAGGATAGTGGCAATTCTGGTGAATGATGCCCTAAGCCACTCTTGAGAAATGCTTGGGCTGCATGTCATTTCCTACCCAGTGCTGACTATGCTGCTAGCAGCAATTATGGTTGCTCACCTTAGTGGTTGCATGGGCAGCTGTTTCTTCCAAAGCAAGTTGGGACTGCAATTGGGCCACACAATCACACAGTTGAGGACAGAAAATCTCAGAATATTAGGTACACCATTTTGTTTCAGAAAATAAAATTTTCTGCTTTTAAGTGTCTTTTCCTGATTCTACATAGAAAGTTTGATGAATATTCACAGCCATAAAAAAGAATGAAATCATGTCCTTTGCAGTAACATGGATGCACCTGGAGACCATTATTCAAAGCAAACTAACACAGGAACAGAAAACCAAAAAGCGCATGTACTCACTTATAAGTGGGAGCTAAACATTGAATACATAAAGATGGGAACAGTAGACAGTGGAGAATGCTTGAGAGAGAGGATAGGGGAGGCATGGACTAGATGGCTGTTGGGTACTGTCCTTACTACCCTGGTGATGGGATCCTTCATACACCAAGCCTCAGCAACACACAACTTACCCATATAACAAACCTGCACATGTGTCTCCTGAAGCTAAGATAAAACTAGAAAAGAAGAAAAAGATAAGAGACATTTGTTTAAGTCTGAAGAAAAAGGAAAAAAAGAAAATTTGGTAAATATTGAAAAGTTTAAATAACAGAATAAAGACTACCACTCAGATATAGCCATTGGTAATATTTTGGTGAAGATGCTTCCAGTTTTTATTTCTATGAATATGTATGTCTTTTTAAAAATGCAAACTTAAAATCATAGTGTTCTATATCCATTTTTGCTTAGTATAATTGAAGCATTTTTCCTATGTGCTTAAATGTTCTTTTACAACATACTTTCAGTGGCTATAAGTACTCCCTTTGGGTAACAGCGTAAGTGAATCCATTCTATTGGTAAACCTAATCCTCATTCATTTAAGTTAAAACCTCTCTAAAAAACAAGAACGTAATTGCCACTAGTTTTCATAATCTTATAAAATAACTAATGATGGTTTAGGATATGATGAGAAAACCCAGTTTCGATCACATTCCCTGTCACATCATGCAATGAACCTGACCTGAAGTTTCCCACTACAAATGCTGTGCATGACTGTAGCACAGGAAAATTCTCTTTTGACTGGGAAACTTGGAAACCCCGTTTTTCTTTCTTTGAGGTGGCTCATCTGTGACAAATAACTTCAGCATTTTCTTTTTTTTTTTTTTGAAGTTTTTATTTTTATTTATTTCTTTTTTATTGCAGTTTATGTTTTGGGGTACATGCGAAGAACATGCAAGATTGTTGCATAGGTACACACATGGCAGTGTGGTTTGCTGCCTTCCTTCCCCTCACCTGTATCTGTCATTTCTCCTCATGCTATCTCTTCCCACCTCCCCACCCCCCATCCTTCCCCCATTTCTCCCCAACGGACCCCAGTGTGTAGTGCTCCCCTCCCCGTGTCCATGTGTTCTCATTGTTCAACACCTGCCTATGAGTGAGAACATGCGGTGTTTGATTTTCTGCTCTTGTGTCAGTTTGCTGAGAATGATGGTTTCCAGGTTCATCCAGGTCCCTACAAAGGACACTAACTCATCGTTTTTGATGGCTTTGTAATATTCCGTGGTGTATATGTACCACATTTTCCCTATCCAGTCTATCATCGTTGGGCATTTGGGTTGGTTCCAGGTCTTTGCTATTGTAAACAGTGCTGCAATGAACATTCATGTGCATGCGTCCTTATAGTAGAATGATTTATAATCTTTTGGATATATACCCAGTAACGGGATTGCTGGGTCAAATGGGATTTCTATTTTTAGGTCATTGAGGAATCGCCACACTGTCTTCCACAATGGTTGAATTAATTTACATTCCCACCAACAATGTAAAAGTGTTCCTATTTCTCCACATCCTCTCCAGCGTCTGTTGTCTCCAGATTTTTTAATGATCACCATTCTAACTGGTGTGAGATGGTATCTCAATGTGGTTTTGATTTGCATTTCTCTAATGACCAGTGATGATGAGTATTTTTTCATATGTTTGTTGGCCTCCTGTATGTCTTCTTTTGTAAAGTGTCTGTTCATATCCTTTGCCCACTTTTGAATGGGCTTGTTTGTTTTTTTCTTGTAGATCTGCTTTAGTTCTTTGTAAAATGCTGGATATCAGCCCCTTGTCAGATGGGTAGACTGCAAAAATTTTTTCCCATTCTGTTGGTTCTCGATTCACTCTAATGACTGTTTCTTTTGCCGCGCAGAAGCTGTGGAGTTTGATTAGGTCCCATTTGTCTATTTTGGCTTTTGGTGCCATTGCTTTTGGCATTTTGGTCATGAAGTCCTTGCCTATGCCTATGTCCTGAATGGTTTTGCCTAGATTTTCTTCTACAGTTTTTATGGTGTTAGGTCTTATGTTTAAGTCTTTAATCCATCTGGAGTTAATTTTGGTGTGAGGTGTCAGGAAGGGGTCCAGTTTCTGTTTTCTGCACATGGCTAGCCAGTTTTCCCAACACCATTTATTAAACAGGGAATCCTTTCCCCATTGCTTGTTTTTGTCAGGTTTGTCGAAGATTGGATGGTTGTAAATATGTTGTATTTCCTCTGAGGCCTCTGTTCTGTTCCATTGTTCTATATCTCTGTTTTGGTACCAGTACCATGCTGTTTTGATTACTGTAGCCTTATAGCATAGTTTGAAGTCTGGTAATGTGATGCCTCCTGCTTTGTT